AACTACATAAATGCGCTTATTTTTTTGCATTGAGAACGATGGCGCGTAATTCTTTTTTTGAAAGCCTTTCTTTGGAAGTCATCTATTTACGTACAAAACTTTGCCGTAGGTGATATTGTTTCTAATATGAGATGATTTTGTGAGCACGTCACGACAAAAGAATCGACTCGGAAAAGTGCATTTTACCAATCATGGTTTATCCGAATTAGGCTTTCCCATCCTATACATTTCTGAAGGACGACATCCGATATCCAAAAAATTGAAACATCATAAACAAATTTTTCTGTGCGTTCTTGGCGCGAAAATGCGGGTAGATGAGAGTCGCCTTCAGGAATACTATAGAATACTACAGGCTTTTCTCATTTTTCGATTCAGCGGGGTGGCACTGGAGACAAGTGGGGAGGAAGGTTTTTTTGGGTAGCTGGGGCGGAGTGGTGTTCGGCACTGCGCGAGATCAATAGGATATCGGCCGCTCAGGATGATCGCACGTAGTCGAATGACAATCTGGTTACAATGTCAACATCTGAAGAAGCTTTGGAGAATTCTGTTTTGCCCAGGGTCAAGCTTGTAATGCGACTGTCGCAAAGGGGGTCGTAAAGAGGGTACCTCGGGTAGGGGGGGGGGGGGGAGGTCGTAAGAGGAGGTAGTTAGGCTAAAATACTCTTAGCCTAAAAGGGAACCAAAAAGCAAATAGTTAGTTTTATTCTTTACCATGAATCTAAAAAAAGTGGAAATTAGAATTTAAAAGATAAAAAATCTGTAAAAATTCTCAAAAAATCATCTACAAAAGCTCAAAACTCTTTCGAAGGATGTATGTATGATTTGATGAAAATGCTAAATGTTCGATTGTCCTAGAAATCTTGCTTCTGAAGCCTTCCTGAAGTCTCACACACTCGACAAAAGCAAATATCTTAATCAGCTAGTGTTTTTCACGGACCCATATGGTTTACCTGTACTTTGGAGATGGTCTGTTATATCAATGCAAAATTTGGTGTTATTCTGCTATCTGTGGATTCTCTTATGGTTTTATGTATGGTAGCAAAAAATTAGAAAAGGGGTGTCGTATTTGCGCCTCATCTAGTTTTCTTCGGAGCTATTGAAGCTTGTTAGCTTGTTAGCTGCAAACTTGCTATAATACGAAGATATCCTTCTGCTTTTTATCATAAGAATTTCATGCTGTTTCATAGCTTCTCCGGTGAGATACAAAATTTCAAGCTTGAAAGTCCCCCTTTTTGCTTTTTAGGATCGCTTCTAAATTTGCGAAAGTCGCATCTAAATTTTTTCGAGCTTACTACTCCTCAATAACTAAATATTTTTCATGGATAGTACAGGCACTATTCTACAAAGCTTGTTCATTGCAGCCTCTCAGCCTTTCCCTGCCTTTAGTTACGAGTTTTCAAAATACCGTGCTCATGCACGTTTTTGACATCGTTCTGGATGGCGCTAAAACGGTTTTTTTTCGCACGAAAATCTGTGCAAAAGGTAGGAAGTAAGCCTTTTAGTCGAAAACAGTTTTACGCTTCAAACACATCGTTTTTTCTCCCTTCAAAAAAATGGTACGGGGACCAAATTTGCTAGCCGGAAGCATGCTTGAAAATTCAAAAAAAAAACTTGCAGAAACCCAAACATTATTGAAGATGTGTATGCGTACCAGAGATGTTGCACGCACCCCTTGGCTCAGAAATTCTGCTTCCGAAGCCCCACTGAAGTCTCACACACTCGACAAAATCCCATATTTTTAACAACGTGACCGTCAAGAATTTGTAAATCTTAAAGTAAAGCTCAACTATAATTCAGATTGGAATGATGTTTTGTTTTGTCAGATAATGTCTTTTCCATTCATATTTTTCCAAATACAATAAACATAGCCAAATCTTCGTGAAATTTTACTACTTACCCAATCCAAGCAGAATTATTTGTGAGTTGATTTTTGAACGGCGAAGCATTACTTGTATTATTTCCTAATTTGTAAGTAGTTATCTATTTCTGATCTATAATTTTGATTGAGGCCCATTGGCAGGCACTTTTGATATTGGCATTCAATTATGCAGGTTACCGCAAAAAAGTGGGAGGGTAGGTGGGAGGGGGGGGGGTAGGTGAGGAGAGGGGGAAAGAGTAGGTGAGGAGGGGGTCGTACGAATAGGTACCTTCAGGGGGGGGGGGGGGGTAGAAGAGGGTCTAGGATCCATCAACACGCTTGACCCTGGTTTTGCCCTAGGTGAAAGTCGTGATCCCTCATGGCGTTGAAAGTGAAGATTGCCAGAGTACGTGGCATTATGTATAGAGAATATGAAGGAAGTTGTGGCATATAGTAGTATAATGCCTTTTGGCGGCAAAAATTTTTAGGAGAAAAATTGCCAATAGCGAGAGTGAGTTTGAAATTGATCAAATCAATGGTGTTAATTTATCAATGGTAAGATTGAATACTTGTTCACGAGCTCCAAACCTCGAAAAAGCTCGAAAAAAGTTGAAATTGTTATTATTCGATTTAAATAATTTGCCACTATAATCACGAGGCAACATTCATAACCTGTCGTAGCTTAAGGGTGTTAGCCATTTTTTTCTTATTTCGAAATGGTCTTAGCAAGGCAAGTTTGGAAAGAGCGAGAGGGGCTAAGATTATCGCAAACTGAAGGGCATTGTTTGTTTTCAGGAATTCTTCACAAACTTGGGAAATAAATTCTGGGTCGACACTCCCTGCAAGCAGACAAGCTGCACCTGTGTATCTCTGAAGGCTAAAAATGGAATGGATTTACAAAGTGTGATTCAATTTACTGAGTCGCTCTTCGAAAACGAGTGCATTTATTTAAAAAGGTAACCTGCACTTTCTCTGCTTGACTCAGTCCAGGCTCATTCACTATAAATAGCAGATGGGGTCAGTGGAACTCAAATGGCACCATTCATTGCATTGCTTTTCGCCCTTAACGTTGTAGGTTGAATTTTCTTGTTTACTTGCATCATGCTGTGAATTTCCGAGTTTGCAAAAATTCTACTCAAAAAACTGAAACCCGTGAAATAGCTGGGCCTGAACCATGTAATGAAGAAAAAGGTTTCTTCCTAGAAATTTTTTCAGGCTTTTCAGAGCATGCCAAATCAGGAAGTCGTGACATGACAAGTCGAGAAGTGGTCAGCTTCCAAATACTAACTGAACTACAAGTAAAAAAGTTAATCTGCAGGGTCCTGATTTGCATTACATCTGATGTTGCGGCTTTTAGGGGCTCAGCACCTCTCACCGCTTGTCACATACGACCCGATCCCGTGTTCCTAAGATGTTACAAACGCTCGAACAAGCTAAGCTCTTGCTTGCGCGACCGTCCCGCGACTACCCCTAATCACATACTCAATACAAGCCCGACTAGAACGCAAGAGATCCTGCACAGATAAAACATACATAAGTTTATCTTAAATAACACAAAGAAAACTACTAGACTAAACGTAATACTAGAACTACAAAAAAAGTACTAAACCCTCAACGCGGGGCGAGCCGCGATACCCCGCGCCACCGATGGCCCAGTATATACTTTCTTCGACGAACGTACTCAGGGTTCCTCTCATGTCCGTCGCACGACGCCTGGTCCGTACGGAACGGTGCATACCTCTTAGCTCCCGCAGGTGGTGCTTGCTAGAATCTTCAAACCACAAACGAATCCTTCGTCCAAATCCGACTACTGCTCGACCGCTTACATAAAACATTCATGCGGGAGCTGCCAGACGCGGCCAAGGATAAGGAGAAATCAATCAATAGACGACACTCGAGAGAAGACAATGAACTGAGGGGAAGAATACAGCCGCTCTGGGCGCGGCTATATATAGCCCTCTGCTTGGCAGCGCGCCAGCGGAACAGGTCCAGCCGCGGAAATAGCAGCGCGACTGGCAGTGCAGCAACCAGCGCTCCCGGCTCGCTGTTTCAAGGAGCTGCTCACATCGCTGAGCCGCGACTCGCCCCCGCCGAAACAGCTGCTTGGACATTCGAATAAGGTGATAACGCTGGGAACCAGAGAGGACCACCTAGTAAAGCCTTGACGATGCAAAAAATAACCCACATCAGTTCCGCGAGAATGCGCATCAAGGAACGAGAGGTGACGAAAAGAAAACCCGCCCCGCGTTAACAAATAAATATATACACATATAACTAACTTACGACACAAAGAGATTAAATGCAAAAACTAAACGGCACTAAACTAAAGATTAAGCGATTAAATACTCTGAACTAACTAAGACTTCAGGTACTTGATCCGGGATCAAATATAAGTATGTACATGGCGGCAAGTGTAGCTCATGCTGGATCGTTGATTTTTCGACCCCATTTGACAGGACCATTCCCATCGACCCACAACTCAAACATAAACGTATGCTCGACAACGGCCTCGACACACAGCCGGATGTTGTAGGACTGTAACAAAAATTTGTTTACGAGGTCAAAATGGTGAAAATGTCGAACAATGTTACGTGGTATGATCCTCGGAGTCCTGCACGCCACCACACACTTGCTCGCCTTGACTCAAAACTCACTCGCAGGCACGCAACGTGGAGGCGATGTTAGCGTAACGCGCTGCGAAGTGTCGAAACTGCCCAATGGTACTGGGCGACAAATAATTTTGGCTAGGCATAAAACTCGCTCGTGCTCAAACCCTCCTTTACAGTCACGCTGTTCTGCGAACAAAACGCGCGATGAGAGGCACCTCTAAATTGTTACACCTATTCTCCCTTGCGCATCGACCGTGGTGCCTTCATAAGCATACAGGGCAGATGTCCTTCTCCTGCACGATCGCTAACCTTCGACTCAAGCTTCTAACCCGATGACATTCAGCGCTGTAATGCTTCTCGCTCTCACAGAAGACACAAGATATTCGACGCGTCCTCACTTGGCTAGCTTCCCGGCTCTGCACGCTTTCTACCTTTCGCGACGTCGTCGGCATCTCTCCCTGTCGTGCTGAATCACGCGACTCCGATGTACTCTCGATTAAATCCGACGGTCGTTCTTCCATACTCCCTCTCTTCTAATCTTTGTCCTCAAACAGCTCTCCCTCCTGCGCGAAGTGCGATGGTGGTTGAATGGACGCTAGTCCTGCCTCCCGCGCAACCGGATGGTACAACTGCGGGCTCGGCGCACTCGCGCGCGATTTCTTGGTGTTACGTCTGTAGTAACCAGTAGGAGGTGGCTGAAACAGGATGTCGCATGTCTGAGCCTGTAGCGGCGGTGATAACGATGATGGCGGGCTTCCAAACTCTATGGGTTGCCGTTCGTGGTTAAAAACGGATTTTTCCTGCTTCTTCGCGCTGATGACCTGCGCGGGTGCTGTGGCCATGAAGTGCTGCTCAAGGTCCTGGTGCTCTGCACGACTAACGTGTGGCTCCTGCAGAGGAATAGATCCTGCAGAGGTCCTTCTGTCTCAACGATATGGAGATACTCCTCTGTCAGGGCACCTTGGGCTCATCACCATAACTGCTCTGCCAATAACTTAGCGCTTGGATGTAATTCTCTGGATAGAGTGGGACATCCCGGCTCAGGTGGTACAAGGAATTAATGATAGTCCCGGTCTGCGGCAGTAGATTCTCCAGCATACCTTCGATAGTCCAGAGACAGGGCGTCAAAAGTGAAGGTTGTTTGAACATTTGACGTCATAAATAGTGAAGGTTGTTTGAAGAAGATCAGAGAAGAGAAAATGACGTAAAACGGATAAAGCAAAAGAAACCGCTGTAAACCGGATAAAAACGCTGCAAAAAAGGTTTGAAATCCTTCAATTGGCGGCTTTTCAAGGTGCAAGTTTTCGCTCCAGGACCAGCAATTCGCAACACGGATTTTTGATTTTTGATGCGTCCTTCAAACTTTTACCCCCGCATTGACGTTCCTGTTTCCTGGGACGTTGTCTGGATTGTTGCGCTTATTGTTCGGAGCAACAATCGCCCAAGTTGGAAAAAAATCGATGCGAAGGCACCGAAACAGAACAAGGTAAAGAAAAACGCATTTTTTACGATTTTTCGCAAAAAACTTTACCATAATCGAAGAAGTAAGGGTTGGGAGGTTGTCAGCATTGTGAACAGAAGCAAGATCTATAGAATGCACGAAAAAACCGCGTGAAAAGAGTTAAACTTGGGGAAAAACAAGAGATTTTCGAAAACAAGGTTTTTACCGGATTTCTCGATCAAATCAAGAAATGTGGTTCTGGGCATACCCTCAATACGTTCTGGGCATACCCTCAATATACGAGCCGCGTACTCTGGTAACCTTCACTTTGAGGGCTATGAGGAGACACAACCTTCACCTGGAAATGAACAGAAGTCATCCGGGGCGAAGCCCCGGATGTTATTATCCTGACTATATCGGAACGAGTGTTAATGAAGCAAATATAGGGAATAATATCTTTAGCATATCTGAGAGAAACCGAGAATTGCGTTTTCATAGCCTTTTTGCGTTAAAAAGAAGGTTTCTGTGGAATTTCCGCCAGAATTCAGGACAAAATTTCTCAGTTAACCTGTCATCTAAACAAAAAGCGAGCTCGCGCAGAGACTCGCGCACGAAAACGCTGGTCTGTCTCGTTAATGAGTGAATTTTCAAAGCTTGGGACGTTGTCAGTGCTCCTCGTCGTGTCATGACGATCAGAATGATATATAATGTTGCAGGGTTTCGTTGAGACCCCGCGGAGATCTACGACCAGAGCCAAATGCCCCGTCGGCTCTGGTCTGTCTCCGTTGCTTGTTTGCGTCTCCGCGCGCTGCGCGCTACCTCGCTACCCCAAACGCGGGCCGCGGGGCATTTGGCTCTGGTACCCTTTTCTTCGCTGTTTCGAATCCAATTTTGGCAAGGTATATATCAAATTGAAGCTCTTGATCTCTATTTTCACGCTGACAACGTCCCATAACCATATTTTTGATTTAATCGAGAAATACGGCAAAAACCTTGTTTTCGAAAATCTCTTGTTTCTCTCCTAGTTTAACTATTTTCACGCGGTTTTTTCGTGGATTCTGTAGATCTCCCTTCTGTTCATAACGCAGACAACCACCCATTCTTTATCTCTTCGTTATTGTGGAATTTTTTGCGAAAAATCGTAAAAAGTGCGTTTTTCTTCACCTTGTTCTGTTTTAGTGCTTTCGCACCGATTTTTTTCCAGCTTGGGCGACTGTTGCTCAGAACAATAAGCGCAACAATCCAGACAACGTCCCAGGAAACAAACGTCAATGCGGGGGTAGAAATTCAAAAGACGCATCAAAAATCAAAACCCCCAGTTGCGAATAGCTGGTCCTGGAGCGAAAACTTGCACTTTGAAAGCCAAATGAAAGACTTCAAACCTCATTGCAGCGTTTTTATCCAGTTTTCAGCAGTTTCTTTTGCTTTTTAAATCTATTTTCAAGCCATTTTCTCCCCTCTAATCTTCTTCAAACAACCTTCACTTTTGACGCCCTGTCTCTAGACTATCGAAGGTATGGTTCTGGGACGTTGTCAGCGTGAAAACAGAGATCAAGAGCATCAAAATGATATATAGCTTGCTGAAATTGGGTTCGAAACAGCGAAGAAAAGGGTACCAGAGAGCCAAATGCCCCGCGCCCCGCTTTGGGGTAGCGAGGTAGCGCGCAGCGCGCGGAGACGCAGACGAGCAGCGGAGACAGACCAGAGCCGGGGCATTTGGCTCTGGTCGAAGTTCTCCGCGGGGTCTCAACGAAACCTTGCAACATTATATATCATTCTGATCATCATGACACGGCGAGGAGAACTGACACGTCCCAAGCTTTGAAAGCCACTCATTAGCGAGATAGACCAGCGTTCTCATGCGCGACCCTCTACGAAAAATTTAAGCGCAGTTTCTCTTTTAATATAACTCCAACAGCTTTCCTAAACTTCTGATACTCAATTTTGGTCAAATGAGAGGTTAACAGAGAAATTCCGTCCTGAATTCTGGCGAAAATTCCACAGAAACCTTCCTTTCAACGTAAAAAAGGCTATAAAACGCAAATTATCGGTTTCGCTGAGATAAACTAACGATATTATTCCCTATATTTGCTTCATTAGCATTTGTTCCGAAAGGATGACTTTTGTTTTTTTCCAGGTGAATGTTGTGTCCCCTCATAGCCCTCAAAGTGAAGGTTACCAGAGTACGCGGCTCTATGTATCGAGGGTATGTTCTCCAGATCAGCGCGACAGAACATAGTCCATTTGATACGCCTCCAAAGTACGCGTCAAGCGCGTAGCATGCGCGATGGCTGCTGATGCAGCCATGAGATGTTGCCTCAGAATGTCTTCATCGATTCGATAGGTATTCAGAAGACTCTGAAAAACGGCGAGAGCAGTAATTCTATGATATCGCGATGGACTGCGATGGCGGTACTAGCGTGCTGTACATGTATGAACCCCATAAGCACCGCATAGCGTATGTTAGTTCTGGGATTGCGAGATAAAAAACGTGGCAGTACTTAGGAAAACACGGTTAGCGCGGCAAACGCTTTTAAGCTGAGCAGTGTGGAATATTATACGTGCGGTTACGTGTTGTGATAACTGTTCTGCCTGGTGAACTTGCTGCGCTTGATCTATGCATGCGCGACCTGAATTAACAATAAAGTTGAACACTGTGCGCAACTGAAACGCCGTATGCTCTTCTACAGTGTGCGACAAAACCATATCCTCTAGCATTGGCAAAGTTGGCGCAAACATAGATGGCGATGGATTGGGGCGCAATGGTGCATGGCTGAGCAGGCTGCACTAGAATTACTGAACCGCGCTGATGTTCTACGCGCTCTATGAATTGACGCAACTGCAGCTCGTCTGTTGCACGCGCTAAGATACGCCTTACTTCTTTGCCAGCTTGCTGCCGAACCGCATTGCGAATGTTAAAAAGCTGTGTAGAAGATGCGCTAGATGTTACTTGCGCTTGCGCGTTCAAGGATAGAGGCTGTGCGCGGTGGCTCGCAGTGCGCAGTGGCGATGAAGATGTTGGAGGTTCCATTGCGAAAGACGATACAGCGAAGCTGAAACGCTAAAAGAAGTGCGCTGCGGGATTTATTAAAGGAGACAATACACTGGACAATGCAAAAATGAAGGATGGAAAAAAAACTTTTAGATGAAAAAATAGTTGGGGCGGGATAACAAAAGAATATGTTAATTTGGAAGGGACGCAGAAAATGGCAATTTTGCCTGGGAGTCCCAAAGGGCTAAAAAGAAAGTAAAACAGTAAACTTCTCATTTGCAGTAACCCCTGTGTTCGCTTACTCCTTGCGCGGCTGGACAACTGTCGATGCGTTTATTGATATAACAGTAGTAATGTTACGACAAAGGTACTCGGCTGTCACTAGATAATTAATCACTAGATTATACAACCAAAACTACGATAGGAAAGACAACTAAACATCTAACGGATAGAATCAAACGAAGTCATTACAACTAACAGGAAAACACTATATAACCTAGAAGAGTAAAATACTAATAAAGACCTAAACAATAAATTCTACTGTTAGGGTACACTAAAAGAAGAAAGACAAAGCGCGTGTCGGTGGCATTTCGTAAGCAACGTTCGTCGATCGAAAACTATCCTCACAAGGCCTGACTTACAAATCGCGCGATATCGCGCCGGGACCAAGTGAGTTCTCTAAAGTAGCATCAGACGAGAATATCAGCCTTACGAGCTGCGCTAGAAAATTTAGATAGAAGAAGTGAAGAAAGTAGGGATATAAGAAATCTGAGGGGATTTTACGTAACCTGTTGAGGAGACTGGAGACTGGCGATATACTTGCCGTGCACCACTGTTGTTGTACAAGATGTTATGCACGATTGACATGCCACCGCTATAGATGACAAATACAATAACGCGCGACTAGCTATCCGTCGCTTAATTCCTTTGTTTGGCTGTTGACGTTGCTACGATGAAGAAATGTTGAAATCGAGATACACTACCAAACTCGATGTCAATGAGTCTCAAACTGCGTAAAATCCTTAACATATTAGGTCGTTCCGAAAGTAATGTCGCTTTTTTCAAATAAACGCCACATCTCCTGGAATCAAGATTCTCAAGAGATCTTAGAAGCATTCGATGCAGCATTTCATCCTCTTTCTAACGGTTGTAATTTCGTTGCATAATATTCAATGAGCTTTCGAAAAATCACCAAAATCTCCAACTCATGCTTTCTGCCATGGCCAAGTCCGGCTATTTTTCTAAATTTTTGTACCTAATCTCCGAAGAAGTCCAAAGCACAGGTAGATAGAGCAAACTCTATAGGACACAGGGTAGTTTTTTTTTTTCCATAACTTGCTACTTAGAGTTTGCGGAATCAATTTTTCAATGCCATCAAATTCCATATTTGGTCAACTCACACCTCACAGAACAACAATCGGCAGGCAGCTAGGGTGCCATTCGACGCAGCTTTTCTTCCTCTTTCTACCAGTTGTTTTTTGTCTCCGATTCATCAAGTTTCCTGGATAAAATCATCATAATTCAGGTTTTCCAAAGCGTCCTAAGGTGTACACGGAATTTTCGAAAGTTGCTAATCTGTAGCGGTAAATGCTCATGGCTTTGTAAAATTAGTGTCAAACCATAATCCATCTTTGTAAGTTTCAAAATCCGAAGATTTACTGGTTTTTGATGCATTTGTGTCTTAGACGAGTCTGCTAAAATTTGGTGGTTTCATCAAAAAATCTTTACAAAAATTAGGACGAGGCGTGGAAAGTAGAAAAAAGTTGTGCTGTTTCCTGTAGGGTTTGCTCTATCCATCCATTATTTGAGCTCCTTCCGAGGGTTGTTATAGAAACTTAGAAAAATTGTGAAACTTGGCCTTCTCAAAAAGCATGGGTCGCAGATTTTGATAATTTTTCGAAACGTTATTGGATTTTGTGCAATGGTTATATAACCGTTAGAAAGAAAATGAAATGCTGCATCATATGCACCTCTTACATATCTTTGTTTCACGAGGTGTGGTGTACGTTTGAAAAAAGCGACATTACTTTCGGAACGACCTAATATAAGCCATGTGACCGCCGTAGATGTTAACAATACACATGCGCGGCCAAGGTACCGACGGCAGTAACAAGTCGTTAAAAATCCATAACCCGGTAAAACAGTCAAAAAAAACTTATGTAGCTCGTCAAACACCACTGCTGACCTTGAAATTCGTAAGGTAGGGTTGTGACGGCTGTAATTCCGTAACCCAGGGTTTTGTGAGGTGTAGTAGTTGGGTCGTGGTATACCGAACATAGACATACACTCTTTTCCTTCGGATGATATATTCACACAAAGACAATCAGCACGTTGTCGTGCCATAAGGGTTTGATGTCCATGACTTGACGAAATGCATGATAACGCGCGTATAATTACTGACTGCTGCTTCGTATGGTGATCTTCGCAAGCGTCATAGTTAACGGCGATCCACACTACGTACGGCGATGTTATACCTATGTACTTATGGAACTATGCGTTACCCACTCGTACGGATAATGCGCGCTTGCTCCGACGTTACATCCAAGTGAACGACAATTGAACAAAGATGACCCAGTGGAAATAGTCTAAGTGTCGCCAAGATGGTAGGAAAAGGTACGCTTTCGCGCAAGCGACGAGTTTTATCAATCCACAGCTTGTCCAAAAAATCGTCACAAACGTCTGGCATGCGACTTGCACTGCAAGATAGACACAGAGTCACGCGTCCAAATTGAGACACAGGAGTCACGCGTCCAAATTGTCTTGATGGAAGCATCTCGTTGGTGTAATACCGAATCTGAGAATGACGAGCGCGATGAAATCGCGTGTGAGGTTGAACACTGAAAATGTCGATAAAAGGATTCCTTTTGCGATCGCAGAAACCAGCTGACGAAGAGAGTCACGTCACAGGTAGAACGACGGACGAAGTGCCAATAATCTTACAAGTAGTAGTAGGCGATGGAGTTTGTACAATATCCAACAATATCCATTATGGATGACATAGAGTTGACACGTCCAAATCATCCTAACGACACGCGGCAAACTTACGCAGACTAACCATGGTGTTACGCTATCAAATCTCCGTACAAGGCTCCGCGAACGGAATGAGCTAAACTTGAAGATGGATAGAGTACATCTCGACAAAACTAAATGACCCACCACACAAGAAATGGAGATGGTATATTGAGGAAGAACAGTAATGAACACAAAGTAGACGTGGGTTCGAAGCGCGCCCGACGCGCTGGAAATTCATGCGTAGCAAAATCTACTTGTGCTAACAATCCTAAGCCGAGAAAAGAGTTGTCGACAAGAAAGGAAGATGAGATGATCGATGATGTTGTCGCGAATCAACGTGCTCGTGTGCGTAACTCGACACACTAGATGTAAGATGTAAAAAAAAACTGCACATTGTTCCCAAAATCCTTCGCTTGCAAGTCTACTACTCGTGACGCAACCGGGCTCCACATAGTAATCAAACTGAAACATCTCCACCTCGTGCGAATGAACCCAAATGGCTGAGGACAAGATGTCAACTGCGCGACGCGCCATTGCCACGTAGATGACAGTGAGAACAATTCATTCGCGAAACAGACTTGAAGATTCACAGTTGATTATACGTGTACACGAAATCCGCGGTGATGTCAAAATTATCCGCCGCTGAACAAAGCCAAAGAGTTCTTGCAAGTCGCATCTCGACCGAGCTGGGGTGAAGAAACGCGATGATGTAACTGCGCGAAAGGAGAATGTCCCAACTTGGGAGAAATTCGAAAGTATAGAAAACAAATAAGCAGAGATGCATGAATGATAGTTGCTCCAACGGTGAGAAGAAAGGTAGTGGGGACAGTTTTGAGATAGCAAAATGGATGAATGGATCTGGCGAATTCGAAACTAAGGGGGTAGACGAAAATAGGGTCCAAGGGTGGTATGCCAGTCCAACTAAAAATGCGCCTTAGCACAATAAAAGGAGGTAAGGTCAACCTACGCGACATGCGCTCAAGCAAGATGGATTTACTAAGCTATAAATAACTCTATATCTGAGCTCAACTGTCGCGCGTGTTGAAGGAAACGAAATTTTAAAACAAGGGTGCACACGAAAAAAATAGGGGATGGAGCAACAAAGGAAAAAAATCGAAGGCGTCTCTGAAATAGAAGTTCGCTCGTTTTGTTTCAGCGATCGAGGAGTCCCTTGTTCCTCCATCAGGAATAGATCCAGCCCACCAGCGTGCTAGTGGCCCTGGGTCTGCTGAAGGCAGGAGTTGTCCTCCTCGACTCCAAACCAACGAGGGAACTTCTAGGCTCCGTTCCAGCTGACTACACGCATCAATAGCGCGGCTAATGATGACATGACGAAAAAGGTAGGGTATTATGACAAAGCCAATGTAGGTCCTTACTCACCTCCGAATAAGGCCTACTGGTCCATTGTCCTCTACTCCAGTTCCGCGATGTTCCTTTAACTGCTTGGCAACGTCGGCGTTTGGAACCGCAGTGGAAAGGAAAGGGAAACTATCTGAAAATAAAAGCTAAATTGAAAAATAAAGAAAACAAAGGAACAAACAAATAAACAAGCAAACAAAAAGTAAAATATGAGCCCCCGGCTAAATATGAAATGAGTAACTAGAGAGTAAACGATCAACAACTTACCATTATCAGAGACAGTGGGGTAGCAACGACGTGGGAAAACCATGAGCGTGAGATAAAACAGGTACAGCAGGGAGTCAGCATGGTGTTGACGTATAGCATTGTACAGAAGAGGTAACCTGTCCGGAACCCATCGGAAACTATTCAGGACTCCTATCGGCGCGTAGGAGAGGCAGAGGGACATAAGGGGATAAGGGGGAAGAAAGGGAGAAAAGGGAGGCTGCCCGTGGGCCCCTGGATCATCTCAACCAGTCGTACCTCCTGCCGCGTTAACGTCCTAACGGTACGAAAGAAATTACTTCCCGCGACAATAACTCTGTATGCACGACTACTCTCCACCCGTACGAGGCGTATGCACCTTCTAATACTCCCTCCGATGACAACCAATCCAGCACTATCACCCACATGCGCTGTCACCGGTGTGATCCAGGCTCCAAAAGGACGGTGCCATAGGCGTGCCAACCACTACCTCCCGAAGGAGCCCAAACTCGACTTCGGGCCCGCTCAACAAATGCGCGCGCCTACCCTGTGGGAAGGGTTCCGAGCCGCCAAGGGGATGACACCGGCCTGTCCCTGAATAGCTCTTTAGAAGCACGAACACCGATCATCGTATGAAGTGAGCGCTGACACCTGGGGTTTCCAGTTGGCCAGAGCTGCCACCATCTTACCAACTATCCACTCCGCGCTCGAGCATCACACTCACGGTTACCGCTTCTGTAGTCCTGCTGCTGGCTACATAGATGTTCACTCCTGCCTTGCCGTTCACCTCGATATTCCTACGTTGTGCTGAGCGTGGTACTTCGGGTTCGTTACGCACGCATTGCTGATAGGAAAGCGCGTTCCATGACTCGTTCCCAGATGTTATCCATGAATCGTCCATCCTCGCGTTCAATCCGATCCATTCGCGGGCGAATAAACATCAACCATACGCTCGGCAAAATGCACCATGCTGCGGCTCCTAGGGGCTCGGCACCTCCCACCGCTCGCCACATACGACCCAATTCCGTGTTCCTAAGATGTTACAAACGCTCGAACAAGCTGAGCTCTTGCTTGCGCGACCGTGCCGCGACTACCCCTAATCGTATACTCAATACAGGCGCGACTAGAACGCACGAGATCCCACACAGATAAAACATACATAAGTTTATCTTAAATAACACAAAGAAAACTACTAGACTAAACGTAATGCTAGAACTACAAAAAAAGTACTAAACCCTCAACGCGGGGCGAGCCGCGATACCCCGCGCCACCAATGGCCCAGTATATACTTTCTTCGACGAACATACTCAGGGTTCCTCTCATGTCCGTCGCACGACGCCTGGTCCGTACGGAACGGTGCATACCTCTTAACTCCCGCAGGTGGTGCTTGCTAGAATCTTCAAACCACAAACGAACCCTTCGTCCAAATCCGACTCTGCTTGACCGCTTACATAAAACATTCATGCGGGAGCTGCCAGACGCGGCCAAGGATAAGGAGAAATCAATCAATAGACGACACTCGAGAGCAGACAATGAACTGAGGAGAAGAATACAGCCGCTCTGGGCGCGGCTATATATAGCCCTCTGCTAGGCAGCGCGCCAGCGGAAGAGGTGCAGCCGCGAAAATAGCAGCGCGACTGGCAGTGCGACAACCAGCGCTCCCGGCTCGCTGTGAGGACCTGCTCGCATCGCTGAGCCGCGACATCTGAGATAGCACAAACTGCGCTTAATGATTGGTTAAACAATCATCATAAGAGGAGGCCGCCTTATATATGGGGAATTAGGAAGTATGCCGCCTGTGCATTTCTTTGTCAGCATACTGACTTACCCTATTCCAGTAGAAGAAAACATCCAAGACACAGGCGTTGTCGAGAGGCTAACAGACGATTTCTAATGGAGACTTCAGATGGACGAGAGTGAGTTGTTATCAGACATTGTGATATCCAAACCTTACTCTAAACAAAAGAAGTGGCGACTTCGAAATGTGAGTAATAGATGGAAAAGCTGGGGCTGCTTTGTGAAGTAAGTGGCTTAGCTAAAACCGTTTTGTAGCTTTTGTGTTAGGTAAGGGAATTAATGTCACATATTTGGGGGGTTTTTTCTACTAATGTTAAACATGTTCCAAAACTGGCACATATACTATTGAGGTTATCTACCTGTACAATGAAGTGTTTCCCGCACTCCAATTCGGTTAGTGTGTGCGCAAGTGGATGCGGCTACGATTACTGTAAAGGAGTTGGCAATTTTTTTGCCTAAAACAAACTTATTGGAAGACGCAGAGCATGGTGGAGTTGGCTACACGTTCAATCGAATTAGCGTGATTGGGGATCTTCAAAGGACAACTTGTAGGAAGTAACCTGGCATTCACTATGCGCAGTCATAAATGTATAAAAACTCTCATAAGCAATATAGAAATAGAAGAAGAAAGATATTCTGAAGAAGCGAGGTGATGAAAGAGAGGTTCTAGAAGCATCAATAGAATTATTATAAAATTTTCTTAATTATCATCTTCGAACGGCAAGAAACTGCATTGTCTAAAATTTCTACTCTCTTCAGTAGTGATTGTAAAGTTCTTCTAAAATTAGAAATTCATCACTAAAAATCTAGAAATGGTTAAAGAAGCTAAGTAAAAAATATGTGTTGAAGATTTGACGATTATTTGAGCGACAAACAAAGTTTTCGAAACTAAAATAACCATTAAAAAGAGGAAGTAATTTTGAGTTGAACACTGTTTAGAGCATTTGTTTACCTTTATATTGAACTTCTAGGACAAATCTTAAAATCAGCACAAAATTTCGGACCGACCTAATATTTTTTTGATTCAAACTTGCTATATTAGGGTGTCTCATAAGTTTTTTTACCGTTTTCACAGCCGTCGTCTTTTTGTATCTTTCTTTCAATTAATGGGCTCGAATAATTTTTGACAGAACAAAGCAAGCTCTACAAGGTGGCAATCAAGAGTATGCCCAGATCGCATTCTACATGAAGTATTGAGCTGCAATATGATAGCAGTCGAAATCGAACTTTACCGTCAAATATCATTCGCCCCCAAAACTCTCAAAAATTCCCCATCAGTTCTAGCACATGTTTGACGCTTTGAACATTCAACTGTAAACTTTCCGTCTTTTTTCCATGGCTACCTCCTACACACGTGATTATATAGCCCGTACATACAGAAGTATGTACGATCATGGATTTGTCCCCTTTGTAGGTGCTCCAGTTCTCGAGAAATGCTGATGTCTAGAGTAAAAACGGTAAAAACTTATGAGACACAATAACGCTACTGTAACGACAAACTTTCAAATAGTCCTATTTTCTGAGGACAGACTGTTTTCAAATTGTGCTTGCACTTCACGCTTCCTGTATTTGTATCGATAACAGCTACAACTGAGCGACCAATATTTATTTATGTGATTAGCTCCATACAGGTATCATTATTTTTACAGGGGCCTCTGAAGTAACAAGTGTACCATACCGGTCCAGTGCTGGCACTCCATCTCCCGCATCCGAAATATCCAGCCAAACCATTGTCGACAAACTAAAATACCATTTAGACACTCAATTCACTATCAGCGTTTCATAAAGTGTAAGTCTACAATATGTCCTTAATTAAGCAAAATATAAAAAACGGAGAAAAGCTGCAGTTTGCAAGTATAGGCGCTTCAAGGTTTCTCATCTTTTTGGAATTGAATGCTAACATACGTAGCTGTTCATATTAGCTTGTAACAATTTAATGTCAGCTTGATCTAATACATACAACTTAAACTGTTCATATAATAGCTAACAAACATGATTAGGTTTTCTCAAAAGTTTGGTCGTTTTCTACTATATAACCTTGCACAATGAAGACCTAACTGCGCTCAAAAATGCATTCGAAGCAGCTTTTCTTTCTTATTCAGATAGTTACATTCTTGAATGGTAATCTTTGAATGCTTAACGACCAAAATTTTTCAGCCCTCAACTACTATCTGCTCAACGGCTGCTTTTTTAAAAGCAGGTTTGGAGCTTCGAAAAAAAGAGTTGTGAAGCAATTAAAGCAAATCTTGACTGGTGATGGTGTTGTTGAGGGGTTTGTCATGTTTTGCAAGTTTTTAATATTTGGTAAAGTTGTAAAACACGCAACAGTGGCAGTTACATGAATTTCAAAGTTTCTGCCAGTTAAAGCTTGTAAGTGAACATCATTTGTTCAGAATAATGAAATTTGACTTGCTGTAGAATTGACTTTGCAAAATTTCCGGTTTTCCTATGCGCTGCGTGCTCATAGAGAATAAAATGAAAGAAGAAAATTTGGAGAGCTAGAGAAAATGTGGCGCTATTATTGAGTTGCTCAATTATGGCGATAACATCGCAAGTACCGCATAGCTCACACAGCGATCAAAAAGAGGTTAAAAATCTAAATTAAACGATGTCTGAGTCGCTTGTTCAATAAGTTGTATCTTGGTGACCGACAAAACCTTTGAGACAACAATATATCAACCTCAAATTTTTATAGGTACTATATTGTTTGAAAGTTCGAGCTTTTGAATCTGTCGCAAAACACGTGGAATAAAGAGACAATTTGCTTAAAATAGATGACGTACAATTGTGGCAGTAGAATGTGGAAATTCTCGGCGAAATTGGCGAAGTGCTCGAGAAAGTTGGCGATCCGCGAAGTGGCTTCGCTGATAATACCGGAATTTTTCACATGCTAAAGTCATAATTGTTTGAATGCAAGTATGATGCGAATCTTCAAACTTCCGCTTAGATGGGTTACTCAATGCGCTGACGACATTTCTTACATTGTTTTGCTGCTAGTGGCACATTATAGGGATGAAAATCCGCCAAACTACGCGAGTAAAATTGAGTGGCTACAAAACGTGAGTTTGTAACTTCCATCAGAGGAACACTGCAGGTAAAGGCCTATGCTAAACAAGGTCCTGTAACGTTCTTTACAAAGTTTTCAATTTACAAAACTACGCAGGCAAGTCCTTTATTAGACGGGTGAGAAGTGCAGACAAATCTCCAACCTTGCGTGGTTTGACTGAATTTTTTCTAATTAGAACGCCACTGTAAAACATTTCAACGCGAAATAACTAGGATTTTCGTTAACAGTGGGTTTGAAAAAATGTGAGTGGAGTCTCGAGTCAATCCAAAATCATCAATATTCCAGCCAAACCAGCGGCCAGGTCAAGAGCGAGAGTCAAGAAAAATCAAGTGGCGTCATTTTTTTCTAAAATTTGAGCATAGAGGTTATCGAACCTCTATGCTTGATTACGAAAAAAAAACATAGATTAAGGATCTCACATATAATTCACATAGTCTTTCTTTAGGGCAAAGGGTGGCTAGATTACAGGTAAATATAGTTTAGTCTGTTTAGTCGCTAAGAAACTCGCGAAGTTGCTGTATGAAATAATGTCTATCTTAGCTTTTATCTACATTAGATGTTGGGTTATCCCCTAACAAAAACCCACTCGCAGAACACAATTAAAGACCTCAAATCAAAGCTAAATGACTATTCACCATACTCCTACAATATCCATACTGCTACTAGCATTGAATGGATATAAACGTTATCAGCACCCTGCATAGGACATTTAGCAGATTGCAGCTATCGTTCTCTGAGCTTCTTCCTTTGGAGGAAAATGAATGAATTGGAGGTAAGCGGACTTGCAATTTACAGTCAAAATGCATGATTATGCACGAATGTGTAAAATCTACTGCATGACGAAGGCGCAGAAGCGGTATTAGTTAAGCGGGCGCGAACGCGACGCGCGCGTATCCTCACCGTTGCAAATCCTGCCCCTCACGCGCTCTGTGGCTAATAAAGCCGCGTTCGCGCCCGACAATATTGCGCCTTCGTCATGCAGCAGCCTATACAATCAAAAGTCTGCAGTATAACCCATTTTGATGCTAGGAAGGCCA